ATGAAGCAAAGACCATGAATGATGATGCAATTCAAATTAACACCTCATCACTGAATCACTATTACCAGATTCAGGCCTCCATCAATTCAATGCTTGGAATAAAACATGCTTGAGTTCCTCCAGAAAACCCTGGTTCTTCTCAGAACCCTCCAGAAAAACTTAGTTCAGACCCTGGGTCTTCTCAGACTGGAATGTAAAACAGCCAAAATTCATTTAAAATACTGCAATTCTTTGGCAGGGCACATTTGGCTCTGTCAGTTCTACATGTCGTTTCACACTCCTCATATGCAAATACATTAAAATTGAGGTTTGGCGATTTTACTTGTTCTTTGGAAGAATTCTACATGCACTCTACTGTCTGCAATGTCTATGACTTTCTGGGTTTGGAAACAGGAGCTACTAGAGATGGGAAGATTATGTGAACAGAATACAGCACTGTCCAAATTGCCGGCTAACTTTGTTGGTTTTTAAACCTGCTGTAATTGTGTGGGTTGGCCAAATGGGAAAAGACTTTTGGGGACTTAAAAATAGTGATGATAGACATCGTCTCTTGAATAGCTAGCATTAATGACATCTCAAATACAGCAATCAGAGTTCACAAAACTGCAAAATTCACTGTCTTCCTATCCAAGGCACACTGCATAAATTGGCAAAGCTACTGCATGAATTTGTTCAAATGTGAGATAAAATTACAAGAAAAAACAAACCAATTCGCAGCTAACACAGTAAAGGAAAGGGGAAGAAATCACAGCCAAAGGGACAGGCAGCCTCCAAAACAAGTGTTTGATTTGGTAATTAACATGTTAGAATAAGAAACAGGTTTTTTGGAATCCTTTGAATATTCTGAACATAAACAGTGCAATCAAATCTTTTCTCCTGAGTTCATTCATTGAAATGGCCCTTCAAACACCATTTAGTGGCAAATGTAAGCACAACTGAGATTTTGAGTTCTATTCAGATCATGGAAACAACTTCTTACTGCAAGCTTCCAATGTGACCAGGATGCCTTCAGAGAGGAAATGAAGACAGTTATTATAACACTACATCCAACCCAGCTGGTTTCCCCTTCTGAGGCCTCAAAAAAGACTCAAAAAATCTTCTGTTGCCTGGTAGAGCAGCTTAGGAAACATGTAGGTTTTTTCCAAGAGAATTAACATGTAGAGGGTGTTACCCTGAAAATGGATCCATTTAGAAAAGTGACAGAAAGGAACAAGTTTTCTAAATCAGGTTCATTCTTCTGGTGTTACCAATGTCTTCAGCTGCAGAAAGAGATGACCTCAGTTGAACCCAACTGATTTTCTATAGTAAATTACTATGTTTTGCATGGAAAGACCTTTTATCAGCTATGAAACCAGGCTCAGCTCCACATTAAAAACATGCACAACAGCTGGTAACAGCTTGAAGATGTGCCTGACAGGCAGATAGCAGTGGCTTATTCAATTTAGACTCAAGTGCAGTTTAATGATGTCCAAGTGCTCAGTCTGGTACAAGAGGATATAGTGCCATCTAAGGTCTCTTTCTGAAGTACTGTGCTTCATACAGACCAACATCACTGTAATTGTGTTCTGTCTTTGGAAAGAATAGACTGAACCATCCCTATCACGTGTGATTGCACACATTTAACATTTAAAGCATATACAGCAATTACATGATAGAAACAAGATTTTACATGTATATACATGGTTTTTTACACTCATTATGTTGGTTCATTGTGAAGAGAAATTCCAGCTAGCTGCTCGTATGAATAACATCAGTTGATCATCAGCCAATGGAAGTCAATAATTCAGGATTCCTCCATTAAACTCAGCAGGTCATGAGTGCAAAGTTTATGTCAACAGCCTAATTACAGTCTTTTTGTGTACAGAGAGCCAATGAAAGAGACAAATATTTGCTTTATGTAAACTATTGCTAAGCATGTTGCTTAGGCCAAGAAAGTGCTGTTCAGCTTGGCTAATAATAAAACCCAGATGTCAATGAGAAATTTGTAAAGCTTCTTTTAGAGCTCATAAACATAATATAAACTGCAGAACCACATACATTTAAACATTTTTTCTATTTTTTTTTTAAAACACATGCACTGATTTGAATGCCAAGAACTTAAAAACACTGACAACTGCCTAGATAGCCTAGAAAGATAAATGTGACTTCTGCAAGAGGCTAGAGCAAGTAATAGGGAGGAGTCTATCATTCAAACTTCTTCAGGGTTAGCACTGAGATTTTCCAGCTTAAGTTCTGTCTACAGTCTGGGTGCCAGCATATTCAGGACTGTGTTCTGAGCACCTTCTATTCACTAACTTAATTTGTTGTTGAAGATGCAAAATATGGAAAGAGCAGACAGGGTAATCAGTGTAAGTCAAAGATACATTATCAGACATAATTAAAGGTCAAGTACATGCACCACAAGGCAGTGCCAGATAGGGTAAGACAGACTACGCTTTCATGAACAGAGAGATACAGGTTTAATTGTCAATTGAACTAAAGTGAAGAGATGAAGTAATTTATTAAGGTGCCAATATATCTTTAATTCTCCCACACAAACCCAAGTAGAATAGAGTACTATATTTGCACAATTTTTGTGAAAACAGGAGAAAATCTGCAAAAGGCCTCCATAGTTCAAATTACATTGTATTTGGATAAAGGAAGAAGGCATTTTATTCCTTACCTTTTTGTACATGTGCAAAACTAGCTGCAGTGAAATGCACTAAAATCTTTCAACAGAGATAGTAAAAATTCAGAATTCTAACTCACAGAATCTGCTGAGATTTCAGAACTCCTGTTCAGTTCCAGTTTAAAGCAAGATCACTGTATTTCTTAGAAGTTTTGGTGAAATAATGACCAAATCCCATCAATTTGCAAACTGTGCAACTGAATTTTAAAGTTCTGAATTAAATATTTCAAATTTTTAAATGTAGTTCACTACTTTAAATATAAGGTTTTAAATGTCGTATTGTCTGTTTCATTCTACAATGAAAGCAGTAGCCACACATTGTAGGACTTGGAAATTAAAGCAACACTTCACTGAAACAAAAGGTCCAACCCCTCACAAGTTCACTAAGCAGTTAAATTAGAACCCAGAAGTTCTCAAACAATTTCAAAGACTGAATTTTTCCCCTATAATTTCCCACTATTCTTTTTTTTCCCTCTCCTTCTCTCTAGGAAATATCCATAACTAGAGAATTTCCTCAAGAAGAAAAAGACTTGGTCAAAACACTGTTCCTGATAGGAAACCAATCAACATTTTCTAACTAATCTTTCTAATATCTCTCATGTATCTCTCACAAAGACATGGCAGAGCTCAAGCCCTCTGCTGGAGGGCTGCTGTGGCTTCTGTTTTAATCAGCACCCTCAACCCTGCTCTGCAATTCAGTGCTCCCCTGGGGCAAAGATGGTGAAGGCATAGATGGCAAACTTTTCTCCTATAAATTGTGAGAGTGGTTGGCTTGACTTCAGGTTGGTAAAAAATAAGTTACCCCTTCTCCATCCCTCAGTGAATAATTCAATCCCTGAGCAATTTTCTTGACATTATTTAATCAACTCAAGAACACTTCAAGGCATTTTTTTCTTTCGCATAAAGCCGGTAAAATGGTACAATGGTACAACAGAAGGCACCTGCACTGTTCGTCTAAAACCACGTTTACCCATTCACAGTTTCTCTTTCATTAAAAGGAATTTAGAGATATCAATCTGTGATATGGATAGATAAAGCAGAGGTCAGGCTCAGAAAAGCAGTGCAGCATTAATCATTGGGCTAGAGAATCCTGGAAAGCAGTTTTTGTCACTATGCTTGTAGTTTTAATGAGCTTCTGCTTATTAAATTTTATGTGCCAAAATTTGGTTCTCTCCTGTCCAGATCTCTGTCATGGACTGTCATTCATCAGCTCAAGAAAAACATTTTCATCTGATGCAACAGATCTACCTCCAATGGATATGCAATATATTGTATTTCTGTCATTATTCAGATATACATTTCTTAATTCTAATAGCTGATTCCAGTTTGTTTCTTTAATTAATTACATGTAATACAGCATTACATATTTCTCATCTGCACTTACAACATTTGTGTGTGTGTTGGTGATAACTAAGCTGTGGCTTTTTCTCTTTCTGAAATAACTACTTGGAGCTCTGGCTTTCAGATGCACTATCTATGGCAGTGTCAGTTAAAAAGGAAAAAAACCAGTCTGAGTAACATTAAAGTCTTCATGTGTGATATCTACTTCCCATCAATAATTCCTAATGCTCCTATCTCATAGTTATCTAGGGGTCAGTTACATGACAAATTCCAATTATTTTTGTAAGGTAGTAAAAAAGCTTTTTGACATAAGTATCATTGCTCATAACGGAAAAGTAAGATATGAAGCATTTTCACTTTTCTCAAAATTGCGTGTAACAGTGTTCTCTCTCACTAGTTAAATGTGAGGCTGTGTCTTCCAGAGATGCTGAGGAATTTGGCTCTGTTACAAGAACATATGATCTGAAGTTACCACAAGACTTTTCACAGAAAGTTCATAAAGACTGAGCTGATAAAACTAAACATTTAACTCAAGAGATTTGAAAATCTCAATTTGTTCAGACACTTATCAGAAGAAATCTCTATGCACTGAAACAAGCATCACATCTATGTCTTTGCACTCACACCATGCCTGGCACATTCCTGATATGTCCACAGTGACACATACATCTATCCTAATTGTAAAAACATTCAGCATTCTGAATTTCTTTTAAGTACTTTCTGTTAATCATTACACTCTGAAGAAATATTGAGAGAGCAGGCACCTTAGGCTACCTTAGGGCTGGGGAACCAATGTATTTATTTCCCCTTATCCAGAACGAATGGGAATTTAAGGTCTTAACTTGCAGCAGCTTTCCTGTACAAAATGATGAATAGTAAGCAGCAGAGAAAATGAAGATGTGAAATGTAGAGTCTCTTTCCATATTAGGAAAGCATATCTTAAAATTCACAGTTACTCTCAATTGATAAACACTATTTGGAGAAGTCTTACCTTCTATGATCTGAGCTGCTGAACCAGCATGGATTGACAAGCCAAAGAGCAGTAGCAGCAAGTCCCAGGTCCACCAGGCATGCCTGGAGCAGGTGTGCCAAAAAAAAAGGGGGGTGGGGGAAGAATGAGACCAAAGACTGTCATACAGAAACACAAGGGGAAAAAAAGGCAAAGTAAAATTTAGAAGCAAGAATTCTTACCATGAGAGCATTTTTTGAAAGTCAGTTGAAAGAACTTAAGTGAGGAAAAAGTTCAGTGCACATGAGTTTTACGTTTATGAAAATAAGAAGTCAATAAAAACTGGAGCCCGCTGTTTCTCCTCCAACGTTCAGACACAAGTGGAACAAAGGCAGCACTCAGGCTCTCTGTGTGACTCACTGCAATTCACTGCTCCAGCTCTGAAATCTGACTCCGTTTAGACTTTCCTGTCAGACCACTGCCGAAAACTTCCTACTTTATTTATTGATGGACACCCCTTACTTCTGCACACCATCCCAGCGTTGTGTACAGCCTTGTCTTTACTGTATACCCTGACAGACAGTAGCACAGCTTCTCCAGTTTCCCCCTCTGCCGCCCCCGCCCAGTCATAACCTCCACTTACTTGTCCAATAAAACATGACCTCCAACATCCTTCAATCCAGCATTACATAGCCAATGATATAAATACTTATGTGGAATGGGACATTTCCATGGTCATTTTAGCCAAACTTTATCAGAAGCAAGTTTTTAGATATGAGCAGGACGGAGCAGCCCCAGTTAAGTGGCAACATATACCTGGGAGCTGCACTGTCTTAGAGATTTTCTGTCATCTGCAGAGACATTTCAAAGTACACGCTTCTCTCTGACAAATTCTCTGAGGTTAATACTCCTATTTACAAAGATTTACGCCCTGCATGTAGTTTCAGAGTGTGTCTCTGCCTCAGCAGCTGTACTTATGTCTGCTATAGAGATCCTGTAGCTGAGTTTTTCTTATAGTTTCCATTAAAAGTGTTATTTCACCCCTCCCTCCTACCTTTGTGAAAAGTGTTTTATTCACATGTAGTTCTTCAAAGCTAATTCTTGCTCAAAGAAGAAATTCTGCAAGAATATGCTTGAGGTAAATCAGACAGTTTTTAAGCCAAGAGTTGTTTAACAAAGGCTGCAACTGTCACTTTTTGACTGGGACAGAAGGAGCCTGGAAAGCATTGCATATGGAAAGAGACCAATTGGCTCTTAGTAAGTCTAGGCTGAAAGGTGCTGGAGATCATTTTAGGAAAGTCAAAACTAAAAATGGGCTTACCTAGGATGGAGAGCAGGAGACAAATAGGAGTAAAGTTTTTTCAGTAATGAAAGGAGAATCCCAATCAATAAAGAGAATTAAGGAAAATTTCATTATACGGTGAATAAAATGCTTGACTTTGGGGGTTTTTGTTTAGTTGGTTATTTTAGGGGAGGTTTGTGATTGGGGTTATTGGAGTGTGGTTTTTTGTTGTTGCAGTAGTTGAGGATTTTTGATTGCTTGTTTATTTATTTATATTTTATTAAATTAGGAAATACAGATGTTAGGTCTTTAAAATCTAGAATCTTGATTCTGCCACAGACTCCCCCTTTAGGTTAAGAATGATAACAGGTCAGGTCTCTCCAGGTATATTTTTAGCTAAGCCACAGACTGACCTTCTGCATAATGACAAGGAAGCAAGAGATCAAACTGTCTTTTAATCAAGTGTCTTATTATAAACACACATACTGTTTTGTCTCCTTCAGAGGACCAAGGTCCCCCCCTTTTCAGTCCCATAGTACTATATCAGGGCTGAAAAAAAGTTTCATCATTCATCTTTTCTACTGGAGGCTGTGATCTCTTTCCTTTCTCTCTCCCTGAAGTTTCTCCATTCTTACCACCACCAACTGTGCTGCCTATAGGAACAGTTTGTAACATGTGGGCAAATCATATACAAAAAGCATTTATCATATGCCTTTATCTTAGACACTAGATATATATTATCGTAGGAGAAAATACTGAGTTTCTAAGCATTCCTGAAAAATATATTTGCATACAGCCTGACTCACTTTTCTATTTTTTTCAGGTAATATTTAGCAATAGCTACCAAGAGCCATTATTAGTCCTGCCAAACTATTTTTTAACTCAGTTCCCTCCTTCAACAGAAAATAAAGAACTTTCTATCTTTCTGTACACAAAATGTCAAAAGGCTTACCTGCATAATGCCTCCTGCTGCAGTATAGTTTTAATCCAGCCAAAACATGTCTGCTTTGGTGTTTTACAGTAGACTAACCTAATTAAGAGACCTGTGTATAATCAGTCTGCAGATTTATAAAATTTATAATGATTTTTTTTTTTTTTACCATATAAGCAGCAAAGATTTAATTATTAGATGGATTTTTCCTCTGGTTTTAGAAAACCCATAGAAAAAAGGGAAGTAACACCTCCCTTCTCCCATGGGTAATATGCTGTTCATGCAGATGATGTCCATGAAATGCTGCTGAGAGCACCTTTAGTTTCTGCTTTACATTTTAACATGTATTTAACGTGTCTAGCCAATGCTCAATATTTTTAGTACTACTAGACAAAGCATGTTCTTGACCTCTGCAGGCTGTTAGTTTTGAATGGACAGCAGTGGAGGAATCTCTAAATATAAACAGTTTGTTATGCCCACTCCTGTAGGGCATTGAGATTTTTTGAGTTTCCAGTGTTCATTTGTAGTCCCAAGAATTACCAAATATTAATAAGCTCTCTGTATCTGCTATATCTATCTATCCATGTATATCTTGCTCCTCACAAGGGCAGTGACATTTGTACACATCCATGCAGTATTAACCTTACTGTTTATCTCTTCCTTTTCAAACACAGCAGGACTTCTTTGAATTGGGGCATATGTGCTTTCCTTCAGTACTGTCTCCAGTTGGAGTTTTCCTTCTGGTTAAAAATCTCCATTTTCCAGGCAAAAGTTTTGTTTACTTTTGCCAACTCTGTCAACTGATTGCATTCCTTAAGACTTGAAATGTCAGGTGATAATTCTGCTGTTGCAGTTCTTATCCATTCACTGTGTTAGTCTGGCTGGTTGTTCTTACATTTCTGATCATCAGAGGTTTGTTTTTTTCCTGCTACAACAGAAATTTCTTAGCTGTGCATTTCTATCCTCTATAATCCTCTATAATTCCTCATAGGAATATTCTTGTGCAACATTAGTGTTAGAGAAGCAGTCTGCAGGAAGGCCTGAGTGAGTTAAGAACCATACTAGAAAAGAATAAAATATTTCTCTTCTGCTTAGATTTCTCCTTAACATGTACAAATATTTGGCATTTGCACTATCTTCCAGCAAGAAGGTCCACTGCTCAGTTACACCTTTCATTAAGAAGTCTCTGCTTCTTTGTTTTCAGCTTAGGTCCTGCTGATGTTCTTCAGTGTCTCCAAGTTCTTGCAATTAATAGAGTGCTCCTGTTTTCTCCATGCCCTTTGTGATTTCAGAAGCCTCTTTTATATAACCTTTTCTCTTGTGTTCTTTTTGTACTAAGTGTGAACTTGGTCATTTATTGTGCTGCAACCATTCCACATCTCTAGTTATCTTTTTTAGCCTTTCTCAGAGTTTTGGTGTTTTTGGACAAAATTTTTGATCTTTAATGGAGTCAGGGGAATCATAACTGTACATGACGCAAATAATCCCAAGATTTCTCGAGTAACATAGCAATTTTCTCTGTTTTTTCTGAAGAGGAACACAACTGATGTGTTTTCTTGACTGGAGCCAGGACGACATTTCCATGGAACATTCATAAGCTCAATAATTTGCACCTAGGAGGTAATTTTATGTGTAACTAGGATTTCTCTTCCCACTTTGAATACATTTATAACAAATGGGAAATTAATTAATTAATTAATTAATTATTAAATGTCTTAATTAAATGTCTTAATTAATTAAAAATTAATTTAATCTACCATTTCATTCTGCAGTTATTCACTCTTAGAAGACTCATTTGTAATTCTTTACAATCTGCCCCATCCTTAGCAAAAAAACTCCTCATCAGCAAACTTCACCACACAGCAGTCATGTAAACGCTTACCTCCACTGAATCCTACAAGAAAGATGGACAGAGACTACAAGAGCATGTAGTGACAGGACAAGTGGGAATGCCTTTAAACTGAAAGATAGTAAGTTTAGATTAGATATTAGAAGAAATTCTTTGCTGTGAGGGTGATGAGGCACTGGAACAGCTTGTCCAGAGAAGTTGTGGATGGTCCAGCCCTGGAAGTGTTCAGGGCCAGGTTGGATGAAGCTCTGAGCAATCTAGTCAAGGGGAAGCTGTCCCTGCCCATGGGAGGGGGTTTGAGACTAGATGATCTTTAAAGTCCCTTCCTACCCAAACCATTCTTTGATTCTATGATAAGGCAGTCAGTGCAATCTCTGTATGATTACAGTGCTGACCAATCTCTGCTACAAGGGCTGTCTGTATATTCCTCACATTTTTGCCCCTCTTTTAACCAGTTGTTCACACACAGGCTCATTTCTTGTGTCTTGGCTTCCTGAAAAGGTATTGCCCATCATTCTGAGTGCATCATTTAAGTGATGGTTTGCTGCAGGGTGTATCAATTTATCTAGAAACTTTGAATGACATTTTGGCTTTGAATATAATCAGTTGCTAAATGGCTAATTTCACAGTGGTTTGGTAATATACTCTCACAAGCATAACAAATGCTTCAATATCTGTTTTTCTGCATTTTTCTCCTTTCAACAAAGCACATTATAAAAAAAATGCTATAAATGTATCTTTTAAGATATGCTTATGAAGGAATGAGAGTGCACATTTATGTACCTTAAGACAAGGCTGTATAATAACCTACAGAACGGTACAAATTAAGGTCACACAGCTAAAGAATGCTGGCATTTTCTAGCTCTTTAGTACTTAATTTCAAGTAATTTGGTTTTCTGCCTACTCTATCCCTCCCTCACTGTATTATAAAAAACACTGTGAAAAAATCTTTCACTCGGGGCTGACTGGCAAAGAAGGCAAAGAGAGATCAGGGACCTGAAGGTTGCAATGGAAACCCTAGAAAGAAAGGAATCTCCTATCAGTACTTATGCTGGGAGATGATTTTTGAAAAGGGATGAGACCAGGACTGTTGGGCACACAGATGGGAAAGATGAGGAGAATGGATGAATAATACAGAAAAAAGATGTGCAAGAAGAAGAATAAGATGGAGTGAAAAGCCTGGGATAAGAAGTTGGGAAGAGGTGAGGACAAAGCTAAGACCACTGGAAGCCAGTTAGAAAGCAGAAGGAAAGGGAAGTTTTGGTAAATTACCTGGCACTATGTGGCAAGTAAACCAAGAATAAATGTTTAGGCGTATGTATTTCCCCTCTACAAACTCTGACTCAG